AGATTACAACCCCCGAGGGAGCATGGCGATAACCTTGTTGACATGGCCCTCAAAAGGATCACAAACTGGAAGGGCCTCCACACCTCCATTGTGGGAAGGGCCTTAGCCATAAACAACTCGATTCTTGCAGCTATCTGGTATAAAACCGCATCCTGGAAACTTAAACCAAAACAACTAGCAAGATTGAGGAGAGCAGTAGCTACTTGCCTCTGGAAGAATTCGGATGCAGACTCCAGTTGTATCTACCGAGTGGCCTGGGAGCACATTGCTCAACCATGTGGGAAAGGAGGACTGGGAATAATAGACCCAGGGGATGAAATAGACGCCCTGATTTTCAAATTCATCATTAGATTACTGCTCGGAAACGACATCCCCTGAGCCCCCCTGGCCTGGATCCAGATATCCTGCTTGGCCCCGGACGAGGGAGCCCAGTCCAAAGTTCATCCACTGAGATGGCTCACCAACAGGGTCTGGTCCATCCCATCCCCACCGAGACACAGGAGAGAAACGTCACCGGCCAACCAAGCGAAAACAGACCTCCTCACTGACCCTCTATGGACTGATCTCATCAGCCTATGGAGAAGAAAAGGTCCATCCCAAAAAGCCACTCCTCTTAGATAGTATTGAGGCAACCTGTTTTTGGAAACCCACAGATAGTAGACAAAGATGACCGCATGTTCGGTCTCCACTCTAACTCGCCATGGCTCTCCTGGGTTAGAAAAGGATTGTATACCATAGAAGACCTGTGGGACCACTCTCGGGGGGACTGGAAAACTGTACAAACACTAAGAGCCAACCTAAAAAACATCAAAGATCTAGAACTCAAACGAGAATTGCTGGTCGAGGCTATACCATTGGTGTGGCGGCGTGCACTCAAACAAAGCCCCTTATTCGTAAACGGTGATTGGGTGGTGCTATACAAGGACCTCCCAACCCCAATGAGAGTTTATCAGATCTCCCAACTCACATTGTCCACCGCAGTCGTGCAAGCTTATGACCCAGACCTTCCGGGGGCGAGATTCACACAACTACGAAGACATGAAGATGGAGACACGGAAGCAGCAATCTTCCAACTCATGAGAATCCGAGTGATCGAAAACTGCAACCACGACAGATGGGTATATGAATCTGCTACACCCATCTGCAGACTCCATTTCGACCCGACCGAGTGGGAATGGAAGGGAGGCAACGAAATGCAGATTTGGGAATACACAGTTAAAGGAGGGTACAAAGCAGCACGAACCCTGCCTCAAACCCAAAGCAAGCTCGTCAAAAGATGGGAGAGAGACTCACTGCTGCAAGCTACAGACCTGCAGGAGCTAGAGTGGTCCACATATGCCAAGATAATGCCCACAGCCCACCGAGCCCTTCAATGGCAGATCATCCACAGATGTCTGCCCACACCCGATTGGCTAGTGTCACAGACAGATCTGGAACAGAGAGGTATCCTCTCACCAATCTGCTCCTACTGTGGGAGAGCTACCCAACCAGCCAGAGCAACTCTGGAACACTGTTTACTAACTTGTCCAATGGTCGCCCAGCTATGGCGCTGGTGGGATTCGGCATGGCACCACCTCACAGGTCAGCACCTCCCATGGGATCCTGCGCTTATCCTGGGGATCCTGCGCTTATCCTGGGGATCCTGCACTTATCCTGCTCAATAAGCGCACTCCCGTAACTCAAAAATGGGACACCTTTGAAACAAATCTATTCTCCTACACCCGTCTGACAGTCCTACTTTTAGCATGGAGAATGAGATGCTCCTACGAACGGAGTGGTTGTGCTTTTAGCTTCCCCCAGGCCAGGGAAACAGTTATCAACACAATCACCGCCCACACACAACTGGCAGGGAAAGAGCTAAAGCAACAGCTGCAAGCCTCCAAAGACCACCTAGAGAAACAGCAATGCCTGGACCTCTTCCACGCCATTTGGCAGGACAAAAACAAATCGCTCTTCGAATTGGACTCCCAGTCCAATATCCATTGGAAGAGATGGGTAGCAACTGAACCCACCTGGCAGCGTCTCCC